GCAGCGCCGGCACGGCGATCCTGCCACAAGCAAGACAGGCACCTTATTATTCCCCAGCATCTTAAAATGACAGTTTCTTTTCTCTCAGAATGGGGGTTTCAGCAGATGCTCTTTTTAGAGCTAATCCTTGCTCTGTAATCATAAATCCTTCGTGTTTTAGCCTTTTTTGTTAAATTAACTCGGTGACAGTAACACCACTGCTTCTGCATGCTCAGATTTTTGCAAAAGGTGTGAAAGCGAGAGGACTCGGGGAACAGCAACAGCAGCACTTTCAGCAAGTTTTTACTGGGAGGTGTTGATTAGCAGATTTCAAAGGAGCTCAACTGAGTCCTTTACGTGAGCCCAAGTTAAAAAACAATTTATACACAAAAACAGTTTAAGCTAAAGGGAAAGCAGGGAACAGAGACTCAGCCTCAGTGCGACCTGCAAATGCAGAAACACTCCTCCAAGTCTTCAGGAAAGGTGCTCTACGGTGATGGCAGCTCTCAAAGAGAGACTTTTGTGTTCCCTCACCACTGCCCAGGTTTGGCTTTTGACAAAACACCCCATCCCGGACCCAAGCAATTTGGAGAAACTCTGTATCTAAATTCTCTTCTCAAGGCTCCAGCACTGGGAGTGGGAGATAATAACAAAAAATGGTAATAAAACCAGGAAGTTATGATTACTCAAAGAGCCACAAGCCCAAGGCTCAGTGCTAGGGGCTGGACCTGTTCATAGACTCTTTGCAGTGTCCCAAACATAAGATGATTTTTCGCTTCATCCTACCCAGGGAACAAGCCACCTGGTTAAACCAACTCGAGCTGGGATACCACAGGTCAGCCCAGCTACTGAGCATTATCCAAAATGGTCCCATGGACCCAACTAACAGCACAATTCACCTCCATAGACAGGACAGGCCCGACAAGCCTAATGAGGTAGATATGCAAGAAACCGAAAATAGACCACAAACACCCCGCTGGGTTTTGTCCTTGCCTTTCCCGACTGCTTTTACCCTACACAAGCTGTGGCAGCAGTAATCACCTTTAATGATCCCTGTTGCTGTGGAATCTTGAAGCAGCCATGAAGAAGAGGGAATACAGGATGCAGTGAAATGTGCCTGAAGTAACACGCGGTAGCTTTGAACTGACTGTAGATTTTTGAAAGATTGAGAGCAGAGCTGTTAACCCAGGGAAAGTAAAATGTTTTCATGAGTCAGTATAGACACCATGGCAGCGAGTTATAATGGTCAATCACTCAGTGCAGGTGGCACAAATTTATATTGAAGCTGATACCTACGGAGTCTCTGCCTTGTACTTCTTCCTTGGGCTCTCCTCTGACACCACATCTACGCAAGCAGGACCACTATCCTGAAGGATAAGTCTAGAAAGAAAAGCTGTGGCACGTGGTGACAAGTAGTTTCTTCTTTCGGACCTCAGGGCAGAGGGGGCTCAGCCTTTCTGTAGCTGTCAGGTGAGCTGTAAGATGTGGCCAGCTGCAGGTATCATTAGAGACCTAAAACCAGTTTCCAAAACTAAGAAAATTTTACTATTGCATCCTACTAAATTGTCTCTGACAAACAGCTATGGTATTTCCCCTCTCAATTCTTCTGTTATCTACTGCTGCAATGACACCTTGTGCATGAAGTAATCCTTTGCCATCTTCTGCCCAAAACACCCTGCAGTCCTTTAGCAGATTATTTCAGTGTGATTTACAGAAACACAGAAATATTGAATGGATCTACAGATCAGGACTGGTTACCCTCCAATAAGAAATGAGAGGAGCAGCTGCTATCATTCTGTAAAGAGAGGACAAGTTAGTTTGCTAGGGTCTAGGAGTCAGTCTGCAACGGCAAAGCCCAGTTACCCCCCCAGGGAAACTGGGCAACGAGGCTGCACTCAAGGCAATAATGAAGAACGTGGCAGGGTTCATACCGGGCAAGATGCAAAATCTTTATTCCAGTTCTGAATTGGAAAAAACATCACCTCCACAGCTCGCTGTTTGACAGTTCAGTCAGCACAGGGAGAGGTTGCGCTTGCCCAGCGGAGGCACAGACTTAGAGGACCTGGTCCTGTAGGCACTTTGAGAGGAAGCTCAGCTTCAAAGTACAAACACTGAAGAGTTTGGCTTAAATTTTTAATATAAAAACTCACTAAAAATGCTAAAATGTGACAAACCATTGGAAATACTGTGACAAACATTTGCCCTGAGGCAGTAAAAAACAAAACAAACCCAAACTGGCAAGAAGCTTTGAAATGCATGTTTTCTTCTTCCTCCCGGCACACTGGACCACCACCTACTTAAAACGTTCATCTAAAAACTCCATGGCACCTTCACCTCCTACTTCAGTGCAAGAGGCTACTCTCGATGGACCAGCACAAATAAACCCAGTAAAAAGAGGACTGCATACTGTAAGAGAAAGAAGAGAAGACACAAGAGTGCACATTCACATCCAAAGATGCTGTAACAGCAGGAAACATACAGGGCAAATGGTTCTGCCTGTGCATATAAAGTTTTCATGAAGTAATTTTAGCTGGGGTGGGAGAAGCGGGCAGAAAATGAAAGAGCTCTTACCTTAAATTTTGGATAATCATTCATTAAGATAGTCACTATTCCAATATAGGGCACAAATCTACAAGAATAAAGGTTTTATTAAAACAAACAGTATTCAAGGGTGCATATGGGAGAAGCACTGCCCCGGCACTTGTACAAAGGAAAAGCCACTCAAGCACGCTGAGGGCTACGGTCAACAAGCCTGGGACTTCTTCCTCCCAAGCAGGGAAGCCACAGGGGGCTGAGTGACAACGAGCCCCAGAGCGTGTTTTAGCCTCCGCCTTGTTCCGACCTCGCTTGCCTGCAAAAGACCATGCCTTGCAGAGAAATTTTGATGAAAATTCTGATCATGCCTGAGCGTGCACTGCCTTTCTATCAGTGTCCATCCGGCATCAAAACCTCAGGATGCAGCTCACAGCTTGATGTGTTCGCTTAAGCCAAGCTACGAACTGAACTACCTTTGTTTTTTAACTCTCCACAGTGCCTTTTGAAATGCTTTCAGGCAGGTCACAAAAACCCAGCAGGGAGAGTTCAAGAGGAGAGAGGGATTATCAGATGGTGTTGGGGGAGGGCAGTGTAAAAAGCCGAATCTTTTTCAACTTCACTTACCCTCTCGCTCGTCCTACTACGTCCTTTTTCTCCAACCAGTGCTGCCCTCGTTTGTACAGCCCTCTGTCATCAACGGCGTTATTGTCTCCCTTTGTCAAAAATTTGATGTCACCGTTTTGCCTAGCAAAGACAAGACAGCCAGGTAAGTCAGAGAAAAAGAACTTATTAAATGCTGTTCTAGAACAAGCATGTAAAGACTAACACAAAGATATTAGAAGCAATCGTGTGCTACATGTTTGAGCAGGATGAAAAAGGGTAACTCTGTCAAATGCAGCAAAAAGCAGACTGTTTGGAAAAGAAACTGCCGACAAAAGAACGAATTCTGGCCCAGCCAAGCTTTCCAGCAGAGTTTAAGAACAGAACCAGCAGGATGAGCCATTTCTAGCGAAGGTGCAGCTATCGCCTCTTTGCTTTTGACCTCTCTCGTGTTGCTTCATACACAAATGATGGGTTCTGGGCTCTATACTACCACGCAAAATGAGACTCTGGGGTTAAAGCATACAGTTCTGCTCGGTAGTGGACAGAAGCAAGCTGAAACTTAATTTCATTATTAGGGAAGGGGGACAGAACAAAACAAACAATACCATTATGATACTGCATGAACTCACGATGTGCCTACATCTTGAACGTTCTGTGCAGTTCTCAACCCCCTACATCCTTTTTTGTAATGGAGAGAAGAACTGGCAAAGGTTCAGAAATGGATAACAAGGTCTGGAACCACTTCCATACAAGAAACAACAGACCAGGACTCTTCAGCCTGGAAAAGACAGAACTCATGGGAGATATGATGGTACTCCAATACAAATGACAGACAACAACAACCAGCTTTTCACTGCCTCTTACAATACGAGAGCTAGAGAGCATCAAACGAAACTCATAGGTAACAGGTTAAAACAAGCCAGAGAAGATGCTATGCTTAACTAACACAGCGCAAACTAAATCATGTCTCTCTGGAAGGATATTTTGGATGCCAAAATATTGTATCAGTTCAAGAACTGACCAGGTACTCCACATAAAAAAAAAAAAGGGGGGCTGTTAATACAGAACCGTCACTTTGTGCCTGAAATTGTAATTTTCAGAAAAGCAGGGAAATTACTGCCACACTCTCTCTAGTCTTTAATTCGTCCTGAGGTGAACTAGTTATCTGGTCACGATCCTGGAGCAGATGAACCTTTGCTTTGACCTGGAAGCAGCTGCTGCTACGCTCTAGCTTTATACACCATGTTACACACCCTTCCCCAGTCATTTCCATTCAACTTGCTGCACAGCCAGCAATGCTCGCTTGTAAGCAGCGGTTTGTGCCACCACTCAGGGATCGGCCGGCCGCTCTCCCTGCGGCATCTGAAGGCAGATGCTGAGCGAGAGCGTTCTCATTGCTCGATTCTGTCAGCTTGCTCACAAACGACAGATCAAATACAGGTCGGGAAAGCATGCAGAAGATCTTCAGAGCTCATGCTGTTTTCACCATGGCTGAATACCAATGTGTGTTACTTGACAGGAGAAGCTTGGAAGGAAAAAAAAAAGGGGGGGGGGGGGGCCGGGAATAAAACAGATCTTTCTTCAAAGCACATCTGGCTCACAGTGTGGGAACAGCAAACACTCTAGGAGCTTACAGATAGTCTGGAAAAAGGAAAATACCCAAAGGTGCAGATAATGTAGTTTCAGCTCTGAAGACTGATGGTGTAGGAGCACACCATCTTATTGAGCAGATGCAATGCTCTATCATGAACCAGCAGAAGAAGCCCCACAGCACAGTTGCTCTGCTGCCTGAAAGGTGAAGGAAATCTGGTCTGGCTGTCCTGCACCAAAACCACTAAGCAAATTTTGACTGCAGATTCTGTGTTTAGTGATAAAGAATGAACTCAATTTTGCTCTGAACAAAGAAGAAAAGGCTAGCAAGTGAAAAAAAAATTTTCTTACTGAAACAATTCTGATGTGAACTGGAGCCTGAGCTGCCACAAAGTCACAGAGAACAGGGTTTCTGTTTTCCTTCATTTTGACATTCCTGTCAGCTTTCACAGAGACTTTTCAGTTTTCAATCAGTCCATGACTACAGGAAGAAATAGGAAACTCCAGCCATTCAGACGACACTCTTGAATTCCAAACTGGCACCAGAAAAATATTCTTTAACTAGTGAAAGAAGCAACTGACACCTCAGAGTCCTGCCTTCAGCGCCCAGCTTCAGGTCACAGCACGTATTTGTCAGTTTTATCTTTCCTAATATAAAGATCAGGTTTGTGTTTGCTTGCTTTATTTAAATGAAACCTAAAATACTAGAGAATGGCTTTACTTCACAGAGTCTAGGATTGGCACTATGGTTCTGTTACATTTGAAAAAAAGGCTTTGGATACCTTAAGACCTAGTGCTGAGGTAGAGACAGGAAAAAAAAAGAAGGGTGGGGATTATCTGGAGATGACCTGCTGCACAGAATTCACATTTCTGCTTCTCTTTCCCACATGCTGGCTGAGAGCGGAGAGAGAAGACCCTGACCTTTCTTGCCTCTTCAATGATCAGCCCAAGCAGCAGCACTGCAGCCCAGCTGAGCCTTTAGCATGCAACACGGGAGAAGGAAAGTATCGTTTCACTTAAAACAGTTCCCAAGACATCACAAAAAGCGCACGTGCAACATTAGATATCAAATTTACCAAGTATACTGACATTACTTTTAAAATTAGTGGTATCAAAGATCTCTACTTCAAAAACTGACATTGCTAAATGTTTTTTATAAAGAATAAATCTGAACAGCAAAGAATCTGCTCTGTCTACTGGGAGAGGTGCCGCTCCCTCATAGCCAGGATTTCAGCTGGACGATTTATGTGCACAAAGTTGGTTGACCTTGACACTGGGCCAGACAAAGGGTCTAGACGTCCCAACAACTGTGGCTGCTACAAATGCCTGGAAGAAAGGACTGACCCTATCCCACTGACCTCACCTGACCAGAGCAATCCTCCATGTCCCCTTTACGTACGATTCAAGTGATTCACTTCACCTAGGAACAGTGATTCACTTAATCTAGGAACAGATCTCAGCCCTGGTATAGCTCCAGTTCATTCACAGGCAGACATTTACTCAGCAGAAGCAGATGCTAGGACCCCATCCAACTGCTGCCCTCTCAGAGCTGGCTTGAAGAACCAGGGATTCAGTTCAAGTTTTAGTTTTCACTCAAAAGCATCACGGGACTGGCTCGTATCCCCCCAGACTGGCCCAGAGCAGTCACAGTTGCATCTTCCCCAACCAGCAAAATAGGAAGGCTCACAGCTGCAGAGGAAGCCTTGCTTGGAAAACTAAACCCTGTTCAGCAACCAAACCAGAGTGACCGTGCTTCATTCCTTCAGACATGCAACCTGCTAAACGTTTACAGAACAAACAGTACACAGAAAGAGCAGCGCATACAGAGACTTGGAGTATAACAACGCAATACTTCCTAACAGAGAAGAAAAGAAACACCCTGCCTCTGCGTGAGAGCAGGAGCCAGGAGCATAAAGACAGGCTTTAAAATAATGCACACTAGATACAAAATACCCTTCTTCTGTGAGTTCTACCTCTACAAACAAGAGTCACCTCACACATGCAAATGCAGCCGTAGCTACAGGAGACAACACAGCAACATCACATAGCAACTTGGGATGGAAATGATGGCACAGGAGACATTTTAAGTGACATGGGAAATCCAGGATACCAGCACAGACTCCTCAGCTTGTAAAGATCACCCAGCAGAATTCACAAGTAAACCAAGGAGGGCACATTTTGTTTGTCTGAAACTTCTATGTTACTTCTTCCTACAGCACCTGGATATCTGTTACTGATGACCCACCCATTTGTTTACCCAATGAGATGAGGAAAAATACAATTTAGCTGAACATCTGCAGTACAATCCCCCAAATTCTCGACATACTTCTCATGAATTTTCAGGACGCGATGGACTATAGGAATTTCCCTTCCTTCTATCCTAAAGACCACGATTTCTCCCACTCTGATTGGATCTTCAATTCGGTTCGTGAGGAACAGGAGATCTCCTCTGTGAAACGCAGGCTCCATGCTTCCACTGAAAAAGAGAAGAGGTGCAACTGAACAATATTTAAACACTCAAAAGCAAGCTTCAGAGTTCATAGTCCTTTAAGAAAAACCTCACAATAACCTCAGTGAAAAGCTCCTAAGAAAACCACATGGACTTGGAGACCAGACGTGTCTAAGCTCTACTTCATTCAGATTTTCAGTCACCACACTACCAGCAGTTCAGATTTGTTGGGAAAAGAGCACTGCCAGCAGCCAGTGTTAAAAGCACACCAAACGGGAAAAGCCCTCTGCTTTCTTAATAACAACAAGACTCACGACACGCAGGATCTTCTCGACTTCTGAGCTCTCCATTGGTGGGGCTACACTGGCAGCACTGCAGTGGTGGGAAGATTTATTTAATTTATTTTTATTTTTCGCAGGTAGATAGATCATCCTCACGAACAAAGCACTGAAAGCATACAGGCTGTTGTATTCCCATCTGGAACAGACAGATGGGTGTGCTAAAAATTTGTTATTGTGATTCATCGCTTTGCTTAACGATCTCATTTCAGGCACTGCTATTCAAGTTATTTTTCTCCTGTCTTGTAAATGGCAATTGTTACAAAATACTTAACCTTCTTAATTCCAAATAAATAATGCAGTACAAAACAAAATGATGAACTTTAAGTACCGCATATATTCGTGTTTTATCTGGAGACAGTGCAGAGCTGCTATTCAGAATAGAAGATCACATCGCCAAAGAAGGGATGTGACCTAATGGCCCCTGTCTTACTCACTGGGAGGAACAGCGTGAAACGTCTCTCCTGGACTTCACAGACCCATCAGGACGGAACAGGAACGCCGCTCGGTTTTATTTTGTGGGAGTTTTGTTAAATGGCATGCGGTAATTAACACTGATGTAGAAACACACAGAAAGGCCAACACAGCCACAGAACAGGCCCCGCGCGATATCCACGCAGCATCTGACAGCACCAGCATGCGATAGCTGCCCAAGGACTTTGGCTACAGGAATTTGTCCCAAGGCACTAGGGGGGTGGGAGTAACACTGGAGGTACCTACTGCACGGCACTTCTGTGAAGGCTGCATGCAATGCCCAAAACACATCCAGTTACAGAGCAATATCCCTTATTTTCAGCCATGGGTATAAAAGAGCGTGGCTACAGCTCCTTTTTTCCTGGCCATGTTACAACTCACTAGAAGGCCAGGGAAAAAAACCAAGCAACTGTGAAAGAGGAGTTAGCATAATACTTTTAAGGATGCAACGTAACACATAATAATGGTCACGAGGCATTTCGGCAAGCCAGTTCCCATTTAAAAAAAAAAAAACAACAACTGCTTTTCACTATAGGAGTTTATCTGCTGGCATCTCAAAAGATTTCCACTTCCTTTTCATTAACCAAGACTCACCACATACTTAGACTGTTCACGCAGCAGCAAGAAGATACGTGGACAGGCACGGCAGGAGGTGCCAGCGCACTGTGATGTTCTGCTACCGTGACTTCTACCACAGGAAGTGCCATTAGCCTTGACGAGAAGATGAGCTCTGCTACAAACATTGCTTTTACACAAGGATGATCTGCCTGAGCAAGGGGGTCATCACTTGTGCCAGGCTCCCTGCTTCAGGGCCTTCCTTTTTCAAGTCTCTTCCAGCCACACTGCTGGGCATTTCTCCAGGAGGTTTAGTACCACCCCGAAATACCTGGGTTGCGCTCTTGCCATATTTCTTTGAAGTCCTTCCTCAGGACCACGTCTCTAACATACAAGCCAGCCAGCTGACAGAGGTGGAAGGGTGAGATGCCATTTTCACATGAGGCTGCCAGCCTTGCTCACCTACCTCCTCTTCCTGCCTCGCTGTTCCTCTGCATTACGTGAGGGCACGAATTCTTAGAGCCTCTCGTCCACCGGGGCCGGAGTCCCCA